TATATAAAATGGCGTCCTACCCGATGTTCAAGCAAAAAATGATTGTTGTGGCTACTATGGTCCTTCACAACTTCATTCGTGAGCATGGTGGTGAAGACTTGGACTTCGCTCGGTGCGACCGTGATCCAAATTATGTTCCAGAGATTCCGAAAAGGTACTTCAAATATGTGGCTAGATCAAATGGCTCTACTGATGCACCGAATGCTCCTACTATGGACAAATTCCGTGATGACTTGGCCACCGCTCTTTCTCTAGCTTGGAACTAGAATTATGTATTAGTCACTATTCTCTAGTTATCTATGGACAACTATTTCTATTAGAATGATGGACTTTGTTATCTTATTTATCAGTAGTCATGTATGGACAATTATTTGTATCCGAAATATGGACAATTATTTGTATCCGAGATTATAATATGTACACCATATTTGAATTGGTAAAAAAATATTCAATTACACATGGTCTGCATACAACAGAACATACACCAAACATCGATCAGGGGCATAGTAGACCTTTCCTATAAAAACCTCATGTTTCCGGAGCTGGAGCTAAACTGCGTGCCAAATAGGTCCACTTGCTCCAGAAATTCCACAGTGGAGCTGCTCTGTGGTGGAGTTGGTGGAGCAGAGCTGAAAAAGGTGGAGCAGAGTAGTCCCAAACAGGCCCTAAGGAGGACTAGTCATCGATTGTCTAGCAAGGAATAAGGAAGGGGGCGTTCCAAATGGAAAGTCATAAATATAACGGAAATGCTATAAACAGGACATCCGACGCTGGACTCCCCTCCGAACGTATGGCGTAACATGCACCACAACTTTACCTCACTGATTATCGAAAAAAATAAAACTTTACCTCACTGCCGCATGCGCCGCTCGCCTAAATAAATAAAAAAACAAAATCAACTCGTGGCCGCCTCGCCTCGCCTCGCTCCACTTCGCTCCACACACGCCGCCTACCCAACGAGCTCCTCTCTCTCGTGCTTCCCTGCTACTCCGCCCTCTCTCTCTCTCTCTCTCTCTCGCTTGCCCACCCCATCGTGCACCCTCCCCCACCCCGGCATCCTCCTCCCCCATCCTGATGGCTCCTTTCCCCACCCCAACGGCGCCCCTCTCCCCGACCCCGGCGTCCTCACCCATTGGGAGCCCCCAATGCCATAGATTTGGTGGCCCTCTCCCCCACCCTAGCAAGATCCATGGAGCATGAGCGAAATCCTCCATGGAGGTGGCACGACGGTGTTGCAGGGGAGTGGGCAGCTCTCCCCCACCCCGGTGCGACGCCCTCTCTCACCTCGGTGACCGAGCTCCCCTACCCCGGTGGCCATGGCGCTCCTCGCCCCTAGTGGCGGTGGTGCTCGCGCGCAGCCTCTCATCGCCGACTCCGACCCCGACGACTGGAATCGAGGCCTAGCCTTCCCCTCTCATATGTTGCATATGTATATTTCAAGTGTTTCAGGCATTTCGGATGGATGTTGCAAAAGTAGATCGGGGATGTTGCACATGTTGCATATGTTGCAAGTGTTTTGGAGGCATGTTGCAAGTGTCTGTTCAAAATATTTTATCTGTTTTCAGACGCATGTTGCAATCGTTTTGATCTACATGTTGCATATGTTTTCACACATATGTTGCAACAATATTTCCCAAAATGTTTCATTTGTTTGTCTTCTGTCGCAGCAAGTGTTTTAATGTTGCAAGTTGCATTTGTTTTATCTGGATGTTGTATATGTTTTCACACATATGTTGCATGTGTATGTTCTAGATGTTTCATCTGTTTTAGACGTATGTTGCATCCAAGTGTTTCATGTTGCACGTGTTTCATGCTGTTCGGAGAGTCAGGGGGCGCCGCCGAGCAGGCAGACGGTCCTCACCTGCGGTCAGGCGGCGAGGAAGACATCAGGGCGACACGGGCCCGCGTGGGCATGCGCAACGAGCCAGCGCGAGAAACATGGTGCAGGAAAACGGGCTAGCATGCGTGGGCGTTGGGACGCCGGTGTCCGTCCGAACGTCCGGACGCTAGCATCTCCGTAAAGATAATGGCTATCGACCATTTTGGTACAAAGTGATTTTTAAGGTCTTCCGGTTAGATACACACAAGAAAAGCATCTGCGTGTCCCACGTTGAGGGCCTAATCGAGTTTCACGTGGTGAAGCCCTCCCAGACCAACGGAATAATCCTTAGAGCACCGATCCATCTATCCACAAATTAAAGGAGAGCGTGTGATATAAACAGGGAATATATGCAACTTCCACAAAAGAGGCCGTGTGGTGAAGAGGGCAGCTCTCTCAACAAAGTCGCCATCTGATACAACTGCCGTCATTTTCCTGCTTTGTGCTCTGGGCGATAATTGGAATCTACTGTAGCAGAGAGTGGGGGACAAGGAAAAAGTGAAGCAGATGCCACTATTATCATTGGCCCTGTTTGTTTATCTTATAATCCGTTTTTTTCAGCTTGTTTTTTCAGCCGAAACAGTGTTTTTCTCTCACAACAAATCAGCCGAAACAATATTTCAGCTTATTTTTTCAGCGAAGCAAACGGGAAAAGTGAGGCATATGGCTCCAGCAGCGTCGCATTTGAAGAATCGGTTGCAGTTGGAGACTAATGCGAAATACAACCTTGGTAGTGCTTCTGTAATGGAATCTCCAACCTTGGTATCCAACCTGGGCCGCTACGAAGTTATAGATTGTATTAACAAACTGCAACCTTATATACCATGGCAACATCTGAGCTAGTTTGGAAATTTTAAATTTCAAAATCTGAGAAACGTAAATTAATATTTTGGGACTCAAAACAGTTTCAAATAAAGAACTTCTCAACTACAAAGTTGTAGATTGCGTCGAGAGATACAATTTTGATATAACGTTTTTCTTCATCTGAGTTCCTATGGAAAAGTTATGTATTATCTAACCTCTCAAGTCTTGTGTCAATAATCATTCGTCACACATGGATGAGGCCAAGGCACGTACGTCTCAACTTGGTCTCAGAAACTTCATGGCTTGAGTCTTCCAAACATACATGGCTCCATTTCATCGTGGGCATAAATCAATCACACGTTCTTTTACCTGTATCTTGACCTTGCCTACGTTTACTAGCTAAGTTTTTGTACGATCACCCCTCTATTTTGAGCACTAGAGGCTACATTTGGGTTATCAGGCCGAACGGGGGAATCATGAGCAATTAATTATCTAGATTTTAAATGTGGTACAAGTTCTAGGAGGGCATGAAGAAGAAGCGAGACTGGAGCTGCCTAGGGGGGCTTCGGACTATAGTGAGACGGGTTAAGATCTTTGCACATCACTTTTTATAATACAAAACCATAAATGTGATGGTTTTCAATATATTAGACTGTCACTCTTCACTTACTCTGTTGGCTGGCATTATGCCCGTCAATTTAGTATGTTAATAAGGGCGTGGTTGGTTCCTAGATAGCTTTGGCTTGCTTGCCTCGCCTTGCAGGTGTGAGCAAGGAAAAGCTTGCCAGGCCGGGCGAGCTTATTTGCCTCATCTGCAGCAGCAAGGAAGTTCTTGCCCACGCAGAAACCAGGTTGGTAAAGTCAGGAATCCATACATGCTGCCCAAGTTGATTCCTAGCCGGCAAAGTCAGGAATCCAAACATGCCCGAAATGCCCGTCACTATTTAGTTGTTCTCTGATGGTAACTCTACCAGACTTATATATATATATATATATATATTAAATATTGGCATGGTATATCCTCAAATTACACATTACACATAAAAAATCTGAAATAAAAAATACATCATATTATATCCAGATTCTTCCATCTTCTTCTTCCCCAATGACATCCTTCGAACGTCGGAGCTAAAGTGCAGTCGTTATGCCGAATCCAATGACCAACCCCAACATTGGATAGGCCGCAAGATCCAACGCCTCAAAACCAGTCTAAAATGCATCTAAAGTGCTGAAAGAATATCGGCAGATGCATCGTCGGGTACGACATAGGCTGTAGATTTATCACCTCAAGATCTTGAAATTCTCTCCGCGGCCATCAACGATGAGATCGATGACCCGGAGTCGTTGTCCTCGTAGGGGGCTCCCAGAAGCACCCCTCCTTTGCAGATAAAGGTCACAAATTGGCCGCCTACCGATGAAATCGACGCCTGCAACAGCGATCTCATTGTGGCAATCACCGAAGTCATCGCAGGACACACGATCCCAACAAAAAATCATCTGATTTCGCTGAAAATTTATTTGGACTAAACCCTAAACAGACTGGAACTAAAAAAACTGTGAAAAAGACACTACTATAGAAATGATTTGTGGCAACGTCTCCCTTTCTTTGTAGGGACGGCTTGTCAAATGAGCCGCCCTTACAAATGGATTTGTAGGGGCGGCCGGTGTTATCAGCCGCCCCTACAAATGGCCCGATTTGTAAGGGTGGTTCTATATCCAGCCGCCTCTACAAATCGATGATTTGTAGTCACGGTTTGATAGGAGCGGCTGCCAAAACCGATGCTACAGACCGTCTGGAGCTGCCCCTACAAATGCAATCTGGCGTAGTGAGAGAGATGGGTCCCCTCTCCTTTTTACCTCCGGCAGACGCACTGAAGGGGAAGAAGGAGAGGGGCCCTAGGTGGTGGCGTGGTGACGGCGAGGCCCTAGGAGCAAGGGCGGAGGCGGCGTTTTCTGAAGACCCTCTAGGCGGCGGCTCCATCAAATTCTGGTTGCTAATATGTAAACACATGATGATTTTTGTCGATAAAAGGCATGGTGGGTCAACTTTCAATAAAAAAAAGTGTCATCAGGTTTCACACAAAATATTGGCGTCATGCAATAATGTATACACTGCTGAAAATGGTGTGTAGCACGTCTCAACTCTTTTGAGACTGTGTTGGAGCGTCTCTATATAGTCTGGGCCTTGGTTTGCAATATGAATCGTACCAGAGGTACCCATGTCGAAAACTCACTGGTTCCACTCTTTAAAAGGGCACGAGTGCACGTCGACTTTGCATTAGGCAGGCACGCAATAGGGCCATAGGTAGCAATAGCAATGGCTCAGCTTGTTGACATGACAGTGCATAACGTGGTGCTGATTCTCCTGCTGCTAGTAGCTTTTTCATACCCCAGTACGGTCCATGGCGAAGCTTCTTCCGTCCTCGGGCGGAAGGCCGGCATTGTCGACGACGATCCTGCCGTGGCGGCGAACGTGCCGGCTGGTGGGCTGCGGCGGTGGCCGTATAGGTACGCCGTCATCTTCGACGCCGGCAGTACCGGAAGCCGTGTGCACGTCTTCAAGTTCCACATGTCGAGTCTGAAACTTCTTCCGTTTAGTCACGGGGAGATCCAAATCTTCGACAGCGTACGATTACACGGCTGATGCATTTGCTGCATATATATATGTATATAGTTGTTTATTTATTATGTCATTACAGTACAGGACATTTTATTTCACAATAATGATTATTGGTGCATGCAGGTGAAGCCCGGGCTGAGCTCGTACGCTGGACGACCCCAGGATGCTGCAAACTCCTTGCTGCCTCTTCTTGAGAAGGCCACTAAGAGCATTGTCCCTTCCTGGCTTACGATAAGAACCCCTATTAAGCTTGGAGTACGTTCGTGAACAAATCAGCTATTACAGTACAAGACGATACTGCAAATGATTTAAGACATGATTATTCTCTACTTTAATGTTACCATATATGGAACCCTGCAACACACCTATTTGAAGTGATTTATGAGCGGACCATCTCATTATTCCAAGGTGGAATGTTTAGTTATGTAAAACTAAAGCAAAAGAACATTAAAAAAACACATAATGGAGATCCTTGAATGTTTAGTTATGCTCACGCAAGGCCACATGAAAATGCTATTAACGATTCTTAGTGCTTTTCCTGTGCATCTTACCAATCAAACTTGCAGGCAACCGCTGGACTGAGACTTATCGGAGATCAAAGAGCAGAGGAAATTCTTCAAGCGGTAGCTTCATTTTTTCCACTCCAATTTTGCACTGGCACACAGTCATGCATGTATACATCATATGCACATATATGATGCTGAAAGGACTCGCTCTCGAAAAATGATGCTGAAAGAACTAAAACACACCACTATTTTACACAGGTCAGGGATCTTGTCCGAACAAAGAGCGAATTTCGGTACAACCCCAAATGGATCAATGTTCTCTCGGGAACTCAAGAAGGATCTTACCTATGGGTACGTACGGGTTACGATCCACACAGCCAGAAGAAAAAAAAGATATAAACTCATATCCGCAATCAAACTTACTCTTTCTATCTACAACTTCATCTTTGCATATATGTACTCTGCATTTGCAAGCCTATTTAACTTAGTGCATATGGATGTCATGCGATTGTAGGTTGCTCTGAACTATCTGCTGGACAGACTAGGAGGAGACTACTCCCAGACAGTAGGTGTGATTGACTTGGGAGGTGGATCAGTGCAAATGGCCTACGCCATCTCTGCAAATGCCGCTGCAAACGCCCCATCAGTACCTGCAGGAAAGGCTCCCTACGTTACAAAAGAGTATCTCAATCGGAAAGATTACAATGTTTATGTTCACAGGTTTGAGTAATGCTATGCATACTTTACTATTACAGTATTACTCGATCGAGAAAAAAAAGATCATTATATTCTGCATAACATATTCGAAATCAGTGCTGCGAGTGGTCATCCAGGACCTTGTCCTTGCAGTTACCTGCGCTACGGTGCTGTTGCATCACGCCTAGAGATTCTGAAGGCGAAGAACGGGCCATTCAGTTTCTGCATCCTCCGTGGGTTTAGTGGTATGCTTTTCTTTGACAGACTTTCACACAGATGTTTCCAAGGGCATCCTTGGGGCATGAATGATTAGCTCTCCTTTTCTCCATTTTTGTGAAGGTAAGTACAGCTACCATGGTGAGGAATATGATGCAACTGCGGCGCCAGAAGGCGCAGTATATGACAGGTGTAGGCAAGAGATTGCCAAGGCGCTGAAGCTTAACGCACCGTGCAAGACGAAGAACTGCACATTTGACGGCGTGTGGAACGGGGGAGGCGGAGCAGGGCAGGACACCATCTACGCCGCGTCGGCCTTCTACTACCTTGCCGCAAATGTTGGGTTCATAGATAGCAAAGCTCCCAGTGCCGAGGTCACTCCTGCCATGTTCAAAGCTGCTGCATGCAAGGCTTGCCGGTTGAGCGTCAAGGAAGCAGCAGTTGAATACCCGAATGTTCGCAGCGACGATGTGCCTTACACATGCATGGATCTTACATACCAGTACACTTTGCTTGTTAATGGATTCGGTAGGTGGCATCGATTCTCTTTATATTTACAACTATACACACTGACAAGTTCTTTTTTTTTCTTTCTGATTTCTGTTGTTAATCGCTCATGTTGATATGAACTGTTTGCTTCTGCTGTAGGAGTGCATCCAATGAAGAGGATCACATTGGTGTCCAAGGTGAAGCGTGGCCAGTACTTCATTGGAGCCACATGGCCTTTGGGTAGTGCTATTGAGGCCATCTCACCCAAAAAGCATGTCCAAGACCAGTAGGGTACTCTGTTGAGGCTTGGCCGGCCGCAAGTGTGTTTCATATATGTATCACTCTATGGACTATGGAGTTAATTAGCTCTCCTATCGAATATAATATCTTCATACCCACTGCATAACTTCATGGCAATGCCTATGAAAATTGGGCATTAGCTTGTAGTGTTAATCATGTCCTGAAATCGAAACAGTGGCAAGAAAGGAGTCCATGTCGTTTGAGGCGCAACATGAATGCATGGGCTCACCGAGATAAAATTTGAGGCCCGCATTTACGGTGCATTATTTAGAACATGAGGCCCGGGCCTGCTAGGATTGCCGGCCCGCGATGTACCCAGGCCACTCTTCCCTCCTGATTCTGCTGCAGGTGGCTAGGAAACGCTGGCCTGACTGACATCTGAGATGTCAGATGTGATACGGCCCATGACTGCGGCTCCACTACTGCACCTCCTAACATATGCAGTTCTAGTACTGCGACGGAGGCAGCTGTGTGTGTGCAGCGGCGGATCAGGAAATATTTTAGGAGGGGCTGAATAACACTGTTGTTCGATCTTAAGTCTTAATCCCTTACACTATAGAACTTAGTCTAAAAATTTATAGGGGCTTTACAGTAATTTGCACTGCTTCGGTATAGGTAGGGGGGGCTTGAGCCCCCCCCGCCCCACTGCTGGATCCACCCATGTGTGTGTGGGTGGGGGGTGGGGGTCTTCCTAAGTCCTCCTTTGAAATTTTATGCATATATGTATTAGGTAGGAGAAGGTAAGGTTAAGAGAAGATAAAAAAGCATTTTTTTTCAGCCCCTCCTAAATTTTTTGGGTGGGGGGATCTAGCCCCCCTACCGATCCTAGGCACGTGGAGCCTCCCTAAGTCATTTGAAATTTTATGCATATATGTATTAGGTAGGAGAGGGTAAAGTTAAAAGAAGATAAAAAAACCTCTATTCTTTTATTCAGCCCCTCCTATTTTTTTTTTTTTTTTTTTTTTGTCGTCGCTGATGCCGGATGCTGATAGCACCTACTAATTAATGTACTATACGACGTTTTCACCGAACACACTGTATTTGCATGCGCATTCAGCTCTGTTCGGGCATGCTATGAGCACATTCTCACTGACCCTGTTGATATTAAAGTTGATGAAGTCACCAAATGTGTCTCATGTCATAACATACACGTGGGATCGTACCGGCAAAATCTATGGCCTTGCTCTAAACTCTAAAATAGGCCCTAACAATCTAGAAAATAGAACGATAGTCACATATAATGCTCCCATGGCACTAACCTATAGCATTGATTGAGTAGTTAACAAAGAAATATTTTTCTTTTCTTTTTTTGCGAATGAACAAAGAAATATTTTTCAACGATAATACAAGGCAAATAGTCAATTACCTACAAATCATTAGGAACTAGGCTCTTTACTCGTTGGGTGCTAGCCTCCAAGTAACAATCGTCTCAAATTTTCGACGGATCCATGGCACTACGATAATTGGGCACTCAGCCGCCGTCGCCAATGCATTGCAGTTTGCACTCTGATGTTTGCGGTGTACATACTAGTGGACTCGAAATTATATTCCTTGTCTGCCAAGCGGAGATGGTGACTCGGTAAGTTGGATCGGGATGGGGTAGTCAGTGGACGGACAAACGATGTAGATGGAACTGCAAAGTGCCAAATATAGAAAGAGATGTAGCGATTCTTAGAAAGAGATGACACCTAGTTTCCTTTCTCTTTTATTGCATTTAACATCACAAAATCATTCGAATAGTAATTTTGATCTCTGAAAATGCATATATGTGCAATGAACTTATGCATTTACTAAACTATGTTATATTTGTTTGGCTTGGCTTTATTTCTTTAATATGGTTGTGGTGGTAGTGAATAAATATGTATAAGAAGTATTTTTTTTCTTTAATTTTTTTTTTGTAATGGCAGTTATGGGACATTTAGAAGTATGCGTAGATTGATGTTGGTTAATTTCTCTTAATATTAATGGTAGGTAATTTATAAATATTATTAGAGGCACGTAGATTTGGTTTCTTCTGTGTGTGTGTTTTTTTTTCTCGTAGCCATCTAATTTTTATCTAACTATCACTACCGGAAACAGTATAATTGCCGAGTGCATGAGGGTTTGCCGAGTGTATTCCATCGGGCACTCGACAAATATCCTATTTACCGAGTATTTTTAATTAAACACTCGGCAAACATATAGCACTCGGCAAAACCCAACTTTGCTAAGTGTCTAATAAAAAACACTCGGCAAACTACACAGAAACACTCGGCAAAACACGGACACTCGGCAAAGTATAGGCACGTGCGCTGGGCGTGCGGCGGCCGTGTGACAGCCGTTGGGTGCGCCGCCCTGCCATTAGAACTTTGCCGAGTGCCTCTAACGGACACTCGGCAAAGACAAGGTTTGCTGAGTGTTTTTTATTGACACTCAGGCAAAATAATCTTGTTGTCGAGTGTTTTTTATTGGCACTCGGTAAAATAATATTTTTTCCTCTTCTGCCCTTCAAACTTTTTCTACTGTCCAGATACAATATGTGGTACTACATGTTAAAATTTAGTATATTTCTCGATCTATTTGTTATATTTAATTAATTTATTGCATTTAGAGAATTTTTTTTGGTTAAAGTCAAATTTGAACTATAAGTGATTCAAATAATGGAATAAATTGAGTGGAGAAATCATATTCATGTTATTGAGTCCATTTTGGGTCTATACCTGGAAAATGAAAAGAAATTTCGAACATTTTGTTCAAGAAACACGATCACGAACGTGTGGCCAAATGGTTTTTAAATTTAAAAAAAGCAAACGAAGTCTGAAAATAACGAGATTTGTCAAGATCTCCTGATATCATATGCGGAGATTGTGGAAAAAAAATGAGAAGGTTTTGCACAATTTGTCACGTACGACGCTTACAAACCGAAGCATCTCCGAAGAAGAATAAGGGAGTTGGGAATGATCTGATAAGATTTGGAGTCAATGTGACAGTCGAATTGGGGTTTGACTTTAAAACTTTTTATATAGGCAATAGACACCATAGATTGGTCCATGTCAAATTTTGGGAATTTTTCGGATCCGTTTGATAATTTTAATTTATTAACTGCAATTATAGAATTTTAATTAATATAAATTGATTTTGAGCTGTAACCGCATGAAATAATGGAATAATATTATTAGAAAAATCAAATATGCATTGTTAAGTGAATTTGACAAGGTACTTTTAAAGTCCATAACAAATTTAGCAGAACACACTATGAAGAAGGACGGTGAGCATGAAATAAATTTTTTTTCCCGAGTGTTCTCTACCTGACACTCAGCAAAAAGAATAGTTGCCGAGTGTCATATAGGGGACACTCGGCAAATTTGTTGATCCGGCCCCACTGCGCAGTACCGGATGGTTTGAAAATAAAAAAAAACAATGCCGAGTGCCGCTGATCTGGACACTCGGCATATATTTACTTTGCCGAGTGCCCAGATCAGGGGCACTCGGCATACCTTTCATATGTTACCACCGGCCGCACCCCCCCCTGACGCATACACGCGCCCGCCCACACTCACGCACTCACACATGCCGCCGCCGCTGCCCCCGCCCTGTGCCCCGACCGCCGCCCTGAACCCCCGCCGGCCCGGACCCCTGCCGGCCTCCCCGGGACCCCACCGCCGCCCTGTGCCCCGGCCGCCGCCGCCCTCCCCCTAGCAGAGCTCCACGACGCCATTGCCGAGCTCCGTTCGCCGTCATCGTTCTCCGCGGTTTGTCCATCTCTTGCTCAATATTCGCCTCTACTAGATTCTCCCTCGTCTCGGAGATTCACACCCTGCCTTTATTTCCAAAAGATCACGGCGTGTTAGGAGAAATCGCGAGCCCGCCGGAACACTTCATCGGCACCGTCCGCCTCATCTCGGCTGCCTCCCCCTCCACTCTGAACCAAGCACCGAGGAGAGCCTGCTTGAGTTCGGTGAGCTTCGCTCTGTTTTGCGCCTCCTGTCTCCGTCTGTCGTAGTCCCTAGCTCGATTAGATGGCCATGGTGCTGCCGTGCACCTCTGCTCCGGCGACCAAGGAACAGAGAAGCAGCCCAGCGCCGTGCGTGCTTTCTTTTATCTTGTTAGCTTGTTGATCTCATCATGACGGAAATGTGCAAACTTTATCTGGCAGAACATTAGGTTCCCTGAATCTGAATGACTACATTTGTAATCTGTTTATTCAGAGTTTCAGACTCTTGTCAGTGAATGGTTGTCTGAAACTTGCATGTTGTTGTATGCATTCACGAATAGTGCAAGAAGGAATGATGGAAATGTGCAAATGTGACATTAAACATTGTTCCTATGCTAGTATAGGAATCATGTTCTACAGCATGAGACATGAATTAAACATTGCGTCTATGCTAATTTAGGCATCAATTTGTTAAGCGTGATAGAAACAGTGAGGAAAGCAAAGAAGATAGCATCACTTTAACTAGCACTCCTTTTAAAAGTAGTAAATAAAAAAAAAACTTTAACTAGCAGTCTATGAGTAGCATGATTTTTTATTTTTGAAAAATTCACTAGCACGACCTAGGAATGGAACCACCAGACACATCAGTAGCTTAGTGTTCTATACGTACTCCTGTAGTCATGTCAGAGTATATGGGTATGGGATTTGGGAGCGATGCTAAAAAATGGGAAGACCGTTTTTTTATAGAAACAAAATTGTTTCAAAATCCAGAGAACAACTAAGCAAAAAAATTAACCCACAGCCGCAAGACCGCAAGCCTGCAACTACCACTGAAAGCAAAAAATTGCAGTGCAACAATGGATGCCTGTGTCTCTGTGATTTGTTGGATCTGTAAAAGCTCAAATGGAAATAATGTTTGCATCATCCCATGCTGCCTAGGAGATAAGGCACAAGAACCATGCTAGCTAGCTCTTGCAATCTCCATATGTCGAAATTGTTAAACTAGACACACACATATAAGCAACATCACTTCAGCAAACAGTGATGTTGTACTATTAACTTGAGCATATTTCCATG